ATAGTTTATCAAATATCATTAGTATTAAAATAGTCAAATTATTATTTATTATTTATCAATGTAAACAAAAATGTTTAGAGGTGCGTAAAAGAATAAGTAATCTGTAGCCTGAGATAGCGTGTGACAAAATTAATAATCAAATATTTATGTCACACTGGATTGTGATTCATGATAAGACAGAACATGTCATATGAGTAATATTTATTTGATTAAAAACATCCTTAAAGGGATAGTATGCGATAGCACTATGCGATGGATAGGGCATAGTAGCACCAAGTCGTCCAAAGATGGCGCAATGATAAGACGCCCAAAGAAGGCGCACAAAGAATAACATTGATAAGACATCTGAGATAGATGCACAAAGATTATTACCTAAGAAAGGTATACAAGATTATCACCTATGAAAGGTGTACAAGGACCCAAACAATATTTGAAAAATGTCACGATACAAAGAATTCAACAAAGAACATTAATACTAGGATACAAACAAAATTAACAAGAATATTAAGAATTAACAAGATGTTAAGATGCATAAATATTTACAAACATTGAATTAGGATAGATATCATTGAGAAATAATATCAATGAAAAATCAAAATTAAAAATTAATAGCATGAAAAAGTCTATTTAAAGACAGAAAAATGACCATGAAGCAACATGGATCAATAGCAAAAAATAATTGAAATATTACAAAAGAATTATAACAAAATAGCTTATTACGAAAAGATAGTATCAAGTTTAGAATTTACATTAGAACTTGAAGAAACTGAACAACATCAATCTTACCAAGAATTAATTCAAATATTAATTGAAGAAGAATCAACTTCACAAGAGTTGATAAAAGCAATCAAAGAAATACAACAAAATTCTGAAGAAAGATTTAAACAAACCTTAGAATTGGCAAAGAAAATTGCACTCAAGAAAGCAAAAATATATAGAGAATCAGCAAAAGAAATTTATGAATCAATTAGCATTCAGTAAAGAAGAAGCAGATAAACAACTAAAATTCACAGAAATAGTACAAAGAAATTATAAAATATCAAATTATTATACAGACTTAGCATTCAGTCTAGAAGCAATCTTATAAGAAGGAAAAAAGATCAACAACAGTCATACCAAAACTTGATTAACAAAATATCAAGAACGGATAAACCAAAGAAAGAACACGAAAAATATCTTATAACAGAGATAAAAAGTTCTGAGAATAGAAAAGAACAAATTATAGAACTAGTAAAATACTTCTTTCACCAAGCATCAAAAGTTGATGATAAAGCAATAAAAGAGATTGAAGAACTCTTTGAAACAAATTAATGAACTCTACCAAGAAAACATTTGAAGAATCAATTGACAAACTCAAAGAAACAGTTTTAGATCAATTAAAGGAAAGAGAATCCTTTGAAGAAAGCATAACATTTGACAGAAATCACTTAGTAGCTAAAGAACATACCTGGAGAGAGTGGAACATAATATATATTCGAAACTTAATCAATCAAAGAAGATCAATTAATACTATAACTAAAGAAGACCAATACAGAAGCTATAAAACTCAAGTGGACTATAGGATACCAAGATACCACAGATCAAATAGCAAAACAAGTTTCAGAAGCAAAAATATATCACGATTGGTCAAAAATAATTGAAGACAAATTAATTGATAATTACGATTATATTCCAATAGAATATAAAAGTAGAAAAATATATTATTATGAATTAATAAGCCTCATACCAACTCTAGTAGAAATATATAATCCAGAAAAAGTGAATGAACTGAACTTGTAAACACTGTTTTATAGAACAGAAAAACTGTATTAGAAGTCAAGAAATAGGATCCTGAGATAATTGTATAATAACAGGAAGATTCTGCAAGGTAGAACTAAAAGAAAGAAGTACAAGAGAAAAAGAAAAACTCCCAAGAAAGAAATCAGAACCAACATATAGTAACTGTATAATCTGTAACGAATTTAGAAGAGTAAACCAAGTAGAAAAAATCTGTAAGAGCTGCAAGATAACAATTAACAAAAAAGAAACTGAAAGAAGAAATCAGGAATTTCTTGAATCAGTAAAACTTCGACAAGAAACAATACAAAACTGTGAATATTGTCTTGAAAGACATAAAGAGTGTATAAAGAAAATAGAAAAGCAAATCTTTGATTTGGATGCAATTGCAGTACAAGAGTTGTAACAATTGTGCAAGAAGACACCTAAAGTGCCTAAGAGAAAAACCAGAACAAACTTGTAGAAACTGTACTCAAAGAAACGAAAACTGTGAAACTATTCCAAAGAAAAAAGGAAAGACAAGAAATAGAGAAAAACAAATCTTAGAAAGAAAAAGAAAACCTAAGGAAAGAAAATTTGAAAAGTGTAAATTGTGCAGAAGTCTACAATTTCTAGATTTCAAAAACACTTGTAGAAAGTACAGAGTAAAGAAAGTTCAAGAAGAAAGATTCATAGAAGAAATCTTAAACTTTGAATGAAAAAAAGTTGTTAACCTTGTATAACACTCAAAAGAAATTGTGAAAAGATACAATATTATAAAAAGTGTATCAACTGTGCAGGAGAAGGATTAACCTGTATACTAGCAGAAAAACAAGATCATACATCTTTAAGAAAAAGCTGTGATAATTGTCATATTAGAAAAAAGAAGTGTCAAAAATCACTTACAGATAAACAGTGTCACTATTGTAAGAAAGAAGAAAAAGATTGTACTTATAATATCAAAATGAAGAACAGACAATATTATCATACAATAAGAAATCTGAAATTAATGATAGTATACTGGAATATATTATTGGAAATAAAACAAGCAATTTAAGATTTTCAATCTCAAATAATAACAGAAGAAAGCTTAAAAGAAAAGCTAAATAAAAATCTGAAAGATTTACCAACTGGAATATTAAGACAATTAGTCTGTAACCTCTTCTATACAGTATTAGAAAGAGAATCTAAACAACTAACAAAAGTAGTTGAAGAAATAGATAAACAAACAGAACCAAGTAAATTGGTATCAGAAATAGATGAACATACCACCTGAATTTTAAGAAATAATCAGAACAGTACAAACAATAGCTGAACTTCAAACAGCAGTTGAAGAAATAGGACAATTCAAATACTTCCTAACTCAACCAAAATTGAGAATAGATTATATAAGAGCAAATATAGGACTAGGAAGAATAACAATATTAGAAAACTTGAACAGCTCAATAACAGAGCAAAAAGAATGTCTAAAAGAAATTATTAAAACATACGAAGATATTAAAGAACAACAGAAAGATAAATTAAAACAATTATTAAAAGAATTATTCCTAATAATAAGGAAAAAATCAACCTTTAACAGTCTAACAAGAGGATTAGCAGAAGTATCAACAAAAATAAAGAAAACAATCCAACAACTAAATCAAGTAGGAATACAATTACGAGAAGAAAACCTACTAGT